CGCCGCCGTCGCCGCGCAGCGCGGGGATGTGTCGCCCGTCCACTAGAGGGCGCCCGCGAGGGTGGGATTCCGCGGCGGCCTGGGCAGAGGACGTGGCTGTTCCCTCCCTGGCCCGAGTGTTGGTTTGTTTGTTGTGTTTTGGCGGCTGGCCAGTATGGGATCTGAACCCTTGACCTTGGTGTTGTCAGCACCACGCTCTCCCAAGTGAGCTGACCGGCCAGCCCTGGCACACACTATTTTATTGGACATCGAGTCATTGTCGTAGGCACACTGGTGTATGTCTTTGTCTGTCTGTCTAACTAAATGGCCAGTGCTAAGTCTGGATTGACATCCAGTGGACATGGGATGGGGGAAAATACTGATTCTGTGCGGAGACTTTTTTTCTCCAACAGTCGAATGCTCGTTTAGCTCTTATGTTTATATTTCGGGACTTTATTTTGCTCTCCGAGTTTCAACAACAATGTAGCAACACTCTTAATACACTGATCCACTGCAGAATGGGAATGGTTTTCACAGAACTGGAAAGCCAGGGACAATTTCACAATCCACCTTTTTTTACCAGGCTGTCACACATAGGGCGAATCTGCCCTTGCGTGGGGCTCAGTGACTCTTCAACAGCAGAAAGGAAATAGAAATGCATCCCGGATACTTTCCCCTTCAAGTCTAGCGTCTGGTTGTTTAAATACAGTTTGTGTAAAATTTTAAAATATTTTAAATTTAAAATATTTTAAAATTTTAAAATATTAAACAAAAGTACATTTTAAAATAATTTCTTTCTTTAAAAAGAAAGAGACTCCTGCAGACTCTGACCAACTGGAGAGGTGTGCCTCAGGGATTTTAAACCAAAATTATTAGAGTTTGGGGTCTACCCACCCATGTCTGTGTTGTGCTGTGGGATTTTAAAATAATTTCTTTCTTTAAAAAGAAAGAGACTCCTGCAGACTCTGACCAACTGGAGGGGTGTGCCTCAGGGATTTTAAACCAAAATTATTAGAGTTTGGGGTCTACCCACCCATGTCTGTGTTGTGCTGTGGGGAGGGGGGGGTAATGTTTTCTTTTTGTGTCAGAGAAGTAACTTTAAAAATATAATGATTGTGTGTGAACTGAAACTAAGAAAAGCAAAGGGGTTTCCGCACCACACCCAGTCCCTTTCAAGGTGGGAGGGGGCTCCCAAGAGGCAAGTGGGCTGAGGGGGTCCTGCCTCAGAACTTGGGGCCTTATGGAGGCAAGGGGGGTGGCCAGGAGCTCTAGGAAAGCAGAAAAAGTAAACCCAAAGCATTTCATTGGCTGGGATTTGAGGGACTTTTGGGTTATCAGGTTTGGCTCTTATCTCTCTTTGCCTCTGTAGAGTGTCGGTCCCCTGAGGGCAGGGACTCTTGTGCATTATTGGATCCCCCAAACCTAGAACAGCGCCTGGCACAGGGGAGGTGGTCAATCAGTATGTGTTGGATGAATGAATGAAAAGTTTAGGTAGAGAAGAGTAACTGTCTGCAGGAGTGGAAAGCTTGCCATTTACCCACAAATTAGCAAACACTAAGGTGGGACTGACTATGCCAGGCACTGTTGTGCTTTAGGTATGAACATAAATCCTCACAACAACGCCATCTCTCTTTTAAAGAAACTCACCCTTGTGTTGTGCCTGCTGAGACCTGCATTGTTTCCTTTACTGTTGGGACAGACACTTTCGCAGGATCTCCAATAGTGGAGGTTGAGGGTTTCTGATTGCTGGACAGACACCCAAATTCCCAAACTCCAGCCAGACTCTCAGTCTCCATTTAAGAACCAAGCCTTCCACACTAGTACAAATGGCTTTGCTGGGGTTGCCTCCACTCCTTGCTCTAGCGCGGCATGTAGTTCAGGCCTGACCAATCAGAGCACAGCATCCCTCTGAGGAATATGATTGGTTGAAGCAGGGCCTGGGACCTAAGCTGGTCCAATCAGGGTAAACTTTAATTAGAACTTTGCTGAGGACAGATTTGTTCTTTTGGACTGAACCTGGAAGGATGAAGCCCTAAGAGCCACCTGCCTGAGAATGAACCAGCCAGCAGAAGGCAGAGCCAAGAGATACAGGAAAACAAGCTCTGATGACATCAGTTGAGTCCCCTTGATCAAGCTGCACCTGAAGCCATGATAGTTCCAAACTTGAATCAATAAATTTATTTTCTGCTTAAGCAGGTTGAATTGGGTTTTCTACTTGCAATAGCAGAAGTCCTGACTGGCAGCGTATGAAGGTTTTAAAGCTCTCACAGTTAAATGAAACTCAGGATCCTGCAACTTGAGCAGAGAGTCTTGAGAGATGGCCAGGGTCAGAGAACCCAGACTTTTGATTGGCTGGGCAGATACACACAGAGACTTAGAGAGTTTGATTTGTTTTATGTTGTCCCCAAAAAGGAGAATTAAGACCAGAGGAGCAAAGTTCTGAGACACTCATTTTAGCTCAGTAGAAGGAGAACTTTCAGACAAGCAGGACCATCAGTACTGGAGCAGACTGCCTCAGGAGGGAGTAAGGGTCCCATCCCTTCAGGTGTACAAATGGTGGCCGGCAACCATCTGGCCCAGAGTTTCCAGAGGGAGCCCGGCATTGGGTGGGACTGTGGTAAATAGTGGATGCTGCCACGTGCGGCAGCTGGCGCTGAGTCCTGGGGTTCCCCTCCAGCCCCTGGGAAGGCAGGAGCCTGTAAGGATTGGGATGCAAATTCATACCCTCCCGGCCCCAGGGGGCCCCCAACACTGAGAAGATAATCAACCAAGTTCTGCAGCCATCTACTAAGAAATGCCACAGGGAGGGGACAGCATGGCCAACTGGGATGCCATTGGGTTTGGGGTGGGGACACTGGAGGGTCAGAACCATCCAGGTGGGAGGGCTGGGGTGCAACCTGGAAGGAAGACAGGCAGGGGGTGAGAATTTGGGGACAAGCAGAATCTATAGCTCACAGCTTTCCTGGCTCACGGCTCGTTCCAATCTCTAGCCTTTGCTTAAGGTTTGCCCTCCCACCAGGACTGCCCTCCCTGCTCCTCCTACCGCACCAAGTCCTCTCGGTCCTTCCTGTCCCACCCCTCCTGGAAGCCTTGCAGGCTGCCTCCAGCCCACTCCCACCTTGCCCTCTTCTGCGCCAGGGGTCTGATAGTTCACTGTGTCCCACCTCCACCCGTGTATGTGGATGTCAGGTCTCTCTAGCTCAACTAGGCTCTCCTGGGGTGCAGGGGCTGGGGTGTCTTTTCCATCTCATCCTTCCTGCCACCTCCAACAGGAATGGGCAGCATGGGAGCTCAGTGACACTCCATGCCCTGGCTCAGGTTACTGGGCATTTTCTGATCCCTTTGGCCTTCCTTCTGAGAAATGTGCTCCGCAGAGCAGGACTGGCTCGGGCAAATGACGAAATGGCTGGGGAAACTGAGGCTACTTCGATACCTACCCCCCTTCTGTCCTAGACCATATGCCACTATCAGTGAACCTAGGGTCACTGCTCAGCAGCCCCCCTCCCAGCTAGAGCGTGCTGGGGGTAGGGGGTGGGGCTGTGGGGAAGGGGCTCTTACCCTAGAGGATGCTGCAGGGACGCTTCTGTGGCCGCGTGGGCTGAGGGCACAGGACGGCCCGGATGGCCTCGTCAAAGACGGTTTTCAGGCCTCTCTGGGTGAGGGCCGAGCACTCCAGGTATTTCACTGAGTCTGGTGGGGGGTGGGGAGCAGGAGAGCAGAGGCCTAAGTCAGGGGAGGGCTCTGAGCAAAGGCCTCTTTCAAGCCACACAGCCAAACACCAGGCTGTGGGGTTGGCAGTCCAGGTTCCAGCCCCAGTGGGGCCACCTGGGAGCTGTGTCACTGTGCCTCAGTTTCCTCATGTCTGAAATAGGGAGCTTGAATTCAGTGGGAAAGGTCTGTGTCCCTCTTGGACCCCTCAGCCCTTTGTTGGTGGAAGGCAGGCAGGAATTTTGATACTTTCCCAGGAAGGAAAGGGCTCAAGCTGCAGTGACTGACTCTCTCAGCGCCTCACTCCTTCTAGAAAATAGCCTCTAGGCTTCTCCCGGGGGTGCAGATAACCCTCAGGAGGCCTGTGGCATTCATGGCTCCNGGGGGTGGGGCTGTGGGGAAGGGGCTCTTACCCTAGAGGATGCTGCAGGGACGCTTCTGTGGCCGCGTGGGCTGAGGGCACAGGACGGCCCGGATGGCCTCGTCAAAGACGGTTTTCAGGCCTCTCTGGGTGAGGGCCGAGCACTCCAGGTATTTCACTGAGTCTGGTGGGGGGTGGGGAGCAGGAGAGCAGAGGCCTAAGTCAGGGGAGGGCTCTGAGCAAAGGCCTCTTCCAAGCCACACAGCCAAACACCAGGCTGTGGGGTCGGCAGTCCAGGTTCCAGCCCCAGTGGGGCCACCTGGGAGCTGTGTCACTGTGCCTCAGTTTCCTCGTGTCTGAAATAGGGAGCTTGAATTCAGTGGGAAAGGTCTGTGTCCCTCTTGGACCCATCAGCCCTTTGTTGGTGGAAAGCAGGCAGGAATTTTGATACTTTCCCAGGAAGGAAAGGGCTCAAGCTGCAGTGACTGACTCTCTCAGCGCCTCACTCCTTCTAGAAAATAGCCTCTAGGCTTCTCCCGGGGGTGCAGATAACCCTCAGGAGGCCTGTGGCATTCATGGCTCCAAGACCGTCTAAACAGCATCTGACCATTACCTAGCATCATCCCCATTTTACAGACAAGGAAACTGAGGCTCATAGAGGATATGTGACTTGTCCAAAGTCACACTCTGAACATGTCCCCTCCACCTGGGGGCAGCCAGGGCCTCATGAGGGGAATGGGAATTGGAGAGCCCCTTCTCCCCCTACAAGAGGACTGGTCCTCTCCCACATGACCACTCAGGCTGGAGCCAGGGCAGACAGCAAGAAAGGCAGACTGAGTCCCCACTCCCGGGGACAGAGTTCCACGACCTCCTGGAGGAAGCCTGTATGACTTCCCCTGTCTACTACAACCCGAACAGTTTCCCTGAAGTGAGGAACCACAAAACCCCTTTGCCAAGAGGCCTGCGGGCCTGAAGGCCTATTTCAGAGCCAAGAGGAAGGAGAGGGAGGGGAGGGGAACTTTGCACCCCCACTGAAGCCCGCTCGCTCTTCTGTGGGCAGAGGAAGGGGACTGCCACGGCCTGAAGGCCTATTTCAGAGCCAAGAGGAAGGAGAGGGAGGGGAGGGGAACTTTGCACCCCAACTGAAGCCCGCTCGCTCTTCTGTGGGCAGAGGAAGGGGACTGCCACAGGTCAGCACCTGCCAGGCACACGCTGGGTGCTTCCCACAGTGCCATGAAGAAATACTTTGACTCCCCACTTCACAAACGATGAAACAGGCCCAGAGAGGGGAAGCCATGGGCCCAAAGGCACGCAGCTGGGAAGAGGGGAGTCAGGATTGCTGGAAGGGCAGCCCGGGAAGGGAAAGCCCACCGAGGCCCGGGGCTGGGGAGAAAGGCGGGGGCAGGGATGAGGAAACTGAGATTCAGAAAGGATGTCACTTGTGCAAAGTCACACGCTGATGTTTCCCCTCCACCTGGGGGGTGTACAGCCACCAGGGATCATGGGCAGTGGTCCCAGGGCTCAGCTGGCAAGAACGGACCACCCAGAACTGGGCCCGGGAGTCTCATCACCATGACCTTCTGTGCTTAGATGGTGTCACGAGGCACTTGGTGTCAGTGGGCACTTGGCCACTGTCTCCCTGTCAGGGTCCACCGCCAGTGCCCACTTCTTCCACACCCACCTCCTGCCTCTGCCAGGCTCCCGCCTGCCCACTCGCCTATCTTGGCTCAGTGGTGTCCAGAACAAGGGGCCTGAGCTGGGGGCCCGAGCTTGCTTCAGCTCTGCCTCTGACCCCTCTGGGACTTTGGCCAGTGTCCCCTCTCCAGGCCTCAGTCTCTCCCATCTATCCAGGACACATTGACACATGATGACTGGTCAGGTAAGGCAGGACCAGGGGGCTGCAGAGAATGCATGGGGGCAGGCCAGGGGGTGACAGATGGCCCTGATCTTCGTGACCGAGGGAGCTGGGCACCTGGGTTCAAATCTGGGATCTGCCACATCCTGGCTGGGTGGCTTTAAGCCAGTGATTTCTCCTCCCTGAGCCTCAGTTTCCTCCTCTGTCACCTCCTTATAGAGGAAAAAGGGCCTTTGGGGATCCTTCAGGCCAGCTGCAGATGGGGGGACTGAGGCCCAGAGAGGGAGAGCCACTAACCGAAGGTCACACAGCCAATCTGTGCCAGAGCCAGGACCAGAATCCAGGCTTCCAGGATCCTCCACGTGACCCCAAAGCACATGCTCGAAAAGGGAAGGGACTGTCAACAGCAAGGGCACAGGCTGGAGAGCCACTGTCCCAGACAGAAGGAGTCCAGGGGGTCAGGCTGGTCAGATGGAAGAGAAGGCAGGACCAGCGGGCAGGAGCTGAGCCACAGGACGGGGCAGGGGACCCAGGGTTTAAGCAGCAGTTGAGGCCCCTGGGGAAGATGGCCATGTCACTGGGCTAGTCACGGGATGGAGGGAGGTGGTGGCTGTGGTTTCTCTTCCTGTGAAGAGATGCAAGTCCCCTCCCAGTTCCGGCAGGAGGAAGAGTGTGAGCTGAGGCAGGGAGGGGGTGCGGGGCTAAATCTTGGCCTGGGGACCCTGTGGAGAGGCAGCAGGCACAACTCATAGTGGCCAAACCCAGCTGGTGGTCCCTGGTTCTTGGGCAAATGCCCCTATTCCCGGGCTACAGGCAGGTTGGTGCCTGACAAGGAACAGGTACAGAGCCAGCAGGCCCAGACACCACGGGAGAGGCCAGACCATAATCATCACCTCCCTGGTGCAGGCAACCCTGAGCCACTGGGAGGGACCCCCCACTGCCCCCCACACCCCGCACTGAGCCAGCACTGTGCTGTCTTTCTTTCAAATCCCGGTTCGGCCACCTACTAGCTGTGTGACCTTGAGAAGTCACTTCACTTCTCTGGCCCAGTATTCTGGAGGAAAAGAAGAGTTTGGCTGAGAAACCAGAGCATGGGGAAAGGGAGGTAAGAAAGAGGTGGAAGGAGGGTGAGTCACCCTTCAAATCTAATGCAGGGGCACCTCCTCCAGGAAGCCTTCCCAGAAAACACAAGATGGACTTGGCTGCTGTCCTCCAAGCAACCACAGCGTACCTACTCCATCGCTGCGCAAAACACCCCTTATTTTCAATGTCTGTCTATAGATTCTACTATTACTGCTGCTCCTACCACTACTCGCTAACTCAGAGTGCTTCCCACATGCAGGCGCTTCTCCAGGCGCTTCATGTGTGTTAACTCACTTAATTCTCCAGCCACCTAATGAGGGAGAGGCTGTCACAATTGCCACGCTTTACTGATGAGGAAACACAGGCACAGAGAGGCTAAGTGGTTCGCCCAAGGTCACGCAGCTGGTGCAGAGCACAGCCAGGGGTTGAACCGTGGAGCCAGGCCCTGAAGCCATGTTCACAATCGCCATGAGGCTGAGTCGGGGCTCCCCCTGTATCCAGCCCCCCTCTCTGAGCCCCAGCTCCGTACCAATCTCCTTGGCCAGTGCCAGGCCCTGCGGGTAAGTGATGGGTGCCAGCTTCTTCTCCTTCAGCTTCTCGATCGTGTCCTTGTCGTCCCGCAGGTCCAGCTTGGTGCCCACCAGGATGATGGGTGTGCTGGGGCAGTGGTGCCGCACCTCAGGGAACCACTGAGCAGGTGGGTGGGGCACGAGGTTGTGCAGGGACAAGATGAAGCATGAGATTGTGTGGGTCAAGAGGGGACATGGGGTTGTGCAAGGAGCAGAGGGAGCATAAGAGTGTGGGGAGAAGAGGGTCCCGAGTTGTGAGAAGATAAGAGGTGGGCGGAGGATACGAGAAGAGACATGAGGTTGTACAGGGAGGGTGGGCAGGAGGATGGGGGTCACAGGGGTATGCAGGAAGGAGAGGGGAACGTGGTTGCAGGAAAAGAGACAGGATGTGGTGTGGAGATAAGAGGTGGCATGAGATTGTACAGGAGGAAAGGAGACAAAGTTACAGGAGGAGAGGGGACAAGGTCACAGGAGGAGAGGGGACAAGGTCACAGGAAGCAAGGAGTAAAGCTAACTAACCCAGCCCCCAAGACACCCTCTGAGTCTCACCCCCACCAGTCCTGGTTGGCACCAAGGACCCTCTCTGCCCAGGGTCTCAAGTTGGCAGTCCCTCCCTTCCTCCCTCAGGGTCACCTGCCCCTTTCCCCCAAGGCCCGCTGTGTCGAGCTCACCTTGGCACGGACATTCTCATAGGACGCTGGGCTGACAAGGGAGAAGCAGATGAGAAAGACGTCCTGGGGACAGCACAGGCGTGGTTAGCCGTGAGGAAGACGTGTCCCACCCGCGCCCCTTCTGCACCTTGGCAGCCTCTGAGGGGTGGGGCCTGGGGCTCCCTGAGAGTGGAACAGCCCAGAGGACGTTGGGGGCTTAGGATCGGGGCAGAGCAGAGCTGCCTTCCCGCTTCTCCTACCACTCACTCAAGGCCAGGGCCTCTTCTAAGGGGTTAGTCCTCACACGACTCTGCAGTAAGGGCTGCTGCTAGCCCCATCCTACAGGTGGGGCAGGTGAGGCCTACACAGGTTAAAGGGGTTGCCGAGGTGCCCCCTGCTAAGGGGGGATCTGGGATTCCAGAATCCATGCTCCCCACCATGCACTATTCTACCACCTGCTTTCCAGCCCAGCCCTCTCATTGCCCACCTGGAGGGAGAGCCAAGGACCCCGGGGCCTAGAGCCAGGCAGGCACCCCCTAACCTCTCCTCTCCTCCCCCAGCACCTCCAGCGCTCACCGTCCTGGGCTGCCTACTGGGCCCCCATGCAGGGTCCTCTCCTCTCCTCCCCCAGCACCTCCAGCGCTCACCGTCCTGGGCTGCCTACTGGGCCCCCACGCAGGGTCTCCCTGCTCACCCTGGGATCCAGGGGACACCATGGGCAGAGGCTGGGAGGACGGGGCAGGGTGACAACAGGGGACCCACGCAGGGCTGGGGAGCCTGGGGAGGAGCAAGGCAGAGTCCTCAGCAGGGCCTTTGGGGGAGAGTCAGAGCTGGCTGGAAGGGCATCCCAAGCAGAGGGAACAGAGAGAGCAAAGGCCAGGACGGCAAGGACGGGGTGGGGGCAGCACACCGTTTGGGGGTAGGAGAGTGGCCGGAGGCGGTCATAGTCCTCCTGCCCGGCCGTGTCCCACAGCCCCAGGTTCACGGGCTTGCTATCCACCATCACATTGGCCGAATAGTTGTCAAACCTGTGGGGAGCAGGCGAGACAGAAGGCAGGGTCAGTCTCAGACCCCAGAGCCCGGGGACTTCCTGTCCAACCCCACATCGTTCCATTCAGAGGCTGAGGCCCAGAGAGGGGCTGTGACTGGCCCAAAGTCACACAGCACTAAACAGTTGGGTTTTCCTAATTTTGTTTTTCGTTACTGATTCATTATATTAAAATGTTTTAGTGCAAGTAGGTAAAAAGAGGAAAATATTTTCTCTTGATCATTTTTCTGCCTTTAATTGTCCTTTAGAAAGGTGGTGGCTTGAGGCTGTGTGAGATTGCCTTCAAGTCCTAATCAGAATGAACTTTACCCAGCTCGCAGTCTGGACACCTAGGGTCGTCACCTGATATTTGTTGAATGAATGGTCAACACCATCTTGGGTTAGGTCCCCCCAGAAGCAAAACCTGAGACAAGGAGGTGGTGCAAGTGGTTTATTTGGGAGGTGACCCCAGGAAGCTGCAGGAGGGGAGTGGTGAGGAGTCAGGAAAGGGACAGCAGCTGATACAGGGCGTGCTACTGAGCTGTCGTTGCTGTGGACCACTGGTTCTTAGTCCTGCTGGGCCACCTGGGAGGCAGCATGGACCCTGCTCAGGGCATCCCCAGAGGGGGCAGGAAGCTGGGGTCTTTATCCACAGTCTCCCATCTCCCATTGGCAGAGGGCTGCTCCTGGGGCCTTCAGCCCGCCCCAAAGTGCACACTGAAAGCCATCAGTCACAAGCCCTTGGAAGTGTCATGGCACACGCTGGAAAGACACATGCCTAGGAGACAGGCACAACATCCACCACTAAAATCTCCCTGCCAGCACCACAGAGGCCTCTAGGACAATCACACGAGCTTCCAGACTTATGTATTGGGCACCTACTGCACAGCAGGCTCCATACCAGTGCTGGGGACACTGAGGAGCACGAGTCTGTCCCTGCCCCTCACAGTCAGTGGGAGGTCAGACACCAGACAAGGAGCCTGATAAACATCAAGGAAGGAGCAGTCCAGGGGACTCTGGGAGGGCCAATTCCAGGGCTCCAAGCTCAGGGAAGGGGAGACTTTAGAAAGCAAGTTCTCACTATACACGACCCTAAGAGGAAGGTGCTGGTTCCTCATGCTGTGGGAGAGAAAACTGGGATCAGAGAGGTGCAGGGACATGCCTAAGGCCACACCGCCGGTGAGTGACCAAACTCTGTGAGAAGCAGCCATCTCTGTCTGACTCCACAACCAGCACTCCCTGCCCCATGCCACAGCTGTGCCTCCGGGGGCGCCCCCACTGCCGGCCCCTGAGGGCTGGGGATCACCCCTCTCATTGAGGTCACTCATTTGGGCCCTGCTCCTCGTCTCCTGACCTGGTCCACTGAGACCCCAGGCTCCTCTGGCTTCTCCTCCTCCTCTTCCCGGGCATACCAGCCACACCGTTTCCCAAGCAAGGCTCACACTGCCCGCCTCCCTGTGCATGCCCTTGCTGAGTGCACTGCCCAGAATGCCTTTCCCTACCCCAGCTTGTCCAGATATTCCCACCCATCCTGGCCTGTGTCCCTCCACGTTCTCCAGGCTGCCCGCCTCCACGCCTTTGCTCCTCTGTGCCTTTCTCTGGAATTCCCTTCCAGCCCCTTTGCCCTCCTGCCTTCTATTCATGCCTAAAAACCCTTCCCAGGCAATTCCTCCTCTGCAGGGAAACTTCCCTGTCCCCACCTGGAAAGAGCTCATCGCTCCCATCCTCAGGCGACTGCTTCACCTTGACCATGAGCAGGCAGAGCTTCTCTGTCTCCTCCAAGGACCGTGGGCTCGGTGTGGGCCAGGCCCATGCCTGCCTCATCTCCACAGTCTCAGGCCTAGCACCCAGTGAATGCAGGTGGAACGGAATTAAACCAAACTGAACTGAAACCCTTCAGATGCCACCTCCTCCATGAAGCCCTCACAGAACACTGCTCAGAGTCAGGCGGCAGAAGTCCTTATGCTTCAGGGTAACTCCAAAGACACCTCCCCTGAGAAAGAATCCCCACCCACCCCCAAATGGCCAGCCTGACTTTTTTTTTTTTTTTTTTTTTGTCTTTTGTCTTTTTCCGTGTCCGGCAACGGATCGCAACCCTCAGTGTTGCCCCCGTACCGGACCAGGGACCGGCAACGGACCGGCAATGGGATTGCAAACCTCGGTGTTGCCCCCACGCCTCGCTCAGCCAGTGAGCGGGAACCGGTCTGTATGTGGGATCCGAACCCTCGGGCGGGAGCACCGCCACACTTCCCAAGCGGCGCACTCTCCAGTGCGCCACCGGGCCGGCCCCAGCCTGACATTTTTAATGCACGGTGCTTGTTCAGCCCTGGAGAGTGTTCCTGGTCACCTCTCAGTTCCTCAAATGGCCCCGCTCCATCCTGCCTAGAAAGTTCCTGCAAACACCGGCCTCTGACTTCCCACTCCCTTCCCTCCCTCCCTCCCTCCCTCCTCTTCCTCCCCACTGCCAGGCTGACTCTTACTCATTAGAAAGTTCCTGCAAACACCGGCCTCTGACTTCCCACTCCCTTCCCTCCCTCCCTCCCTCCTCTTCCTCCCCACTGCCAGGCTGACTCTTACTCACCCCTCCAGCCCCAGCTCAATGTCATCTCTTCCAGAAAGCCTTTCCTGACCCCCAGCTAGGAACTCAGCACCCAAACAGCAGGCACTGAGCGGGCTTGCTCCCAGTGCACTCTGAGGTCAGTGCGGGGTCCGGTGCATAGTAGGTGCTGCTGTGCGCCTACTCTGGGCACCACCCACACTGCCATGGGATTTCAGGAAGGCACAACTGGGCAGGATGGGAAAAGAAGAGCCTGGGTTGTTTTTGCTTCAACCACAAAACACATCTTTGGGACAAGCTTGGGATGCTGGGACACTTTCTCCTCTGAAGTCCAGCCTGAAATTCTAGCGCCAAGAAGCATCCCAAGATTCCTTGAGCCAAAGGCATCTGTCTCCCCCAGGTCACCCCCAGGATCTTAGGGGTCACGGTGATGGGCAAAGAGCTTTAATCACACTGAGTATCTACTCTGGGGCCAAGCAGAGGGCTGGGGCCTTTGTACATTAGGTCTTAAATGCTGCCCACTCCCCCACCATGCCCCTCCCCAGAGGACCAGCTTCTGGAGCCAGAGGGACAGCTGTCAGGACGTGTGAATGATACAAAACTCCCAGGGTGCCCCTTTATTTAAGAGACCCACAGGAACCAGGACCAGAGGAACCTTACATACCACTGTGGCCAGCTCTCACCTCCATTTTCCAGATAAAGAAACTGAGGCTCACAGACAGGAAAGGACTTGCCCAAGATCTCCCAGCCAGTTGGTGGCAGAGTAAGGGCTAGATCCTGTTACCCAATTCAGAAAAGCCTGTGTTGTAAGCATCGCTGCCATTTCATGCCAGAGACAGCATGCTTACCCAGGACCTGTCGGGCTCTGAGACCCGCCCTTTGATGTAGGCCCAGCTCTGACCCTAGAATGCAGTGGAGGAGGGGAACGGGGCAGGTAAAAAGGGGCTCGGCACCCACGTGTCACCTGACCTCCACTCAAGCCCACTCCCAAGGTGGAAGGATGGTGCATTCAAGGGACCCAGAGACCACAGGGCATGTGTGGCTGATGACTTGGGGATGGGGGGAACTGACCAGGTCAGGCAGAGGCGTGTACCACGATAAAGATTCAGGTCTTTGTCCTCAGGCCAATGGGAACCAACACTGAGGGGCTTAACCAGGCAGGGGGTGATGAGATCAGATTTGCATTTAGAAAAGGCCCCTCTTGGCTGTTGGGTGGAGATGTCTTAGGGGAGGGTCAGAGGGGAAGCTGGAAGGCCAGTAGGGAGGCTCTTTCTGTGTACTTGCTGAGCGATGGAGGCAGCTGGAGAAAATGAGGGGCGTCAGGGAGGTGTCACTGGTGGGGCAGGAGGGGACATGAGCAAAGGCCGAGGCTTGAGCCAGCCCAGTTCACTGAGGGACTAACATGCCCAGTGGCAGGAGGATGGGGACAGGGACTGTGAGAGGACAGGCAGGCAAGCTTGGCAGGGCCCTGGCACACCCAGCTGTGGAGGCTGATGTCTATGGGAATTCCAGGCTTGATTTGCCAGTTCACTGACAGGAGGATCACACACAAAGGTAAACATCAGTACCAGACGGTTCACCCTACAGTAACAGTGTGTATTCTCCCTTACAGAACTGATCCCTGCATACCTTCCTGGGGCAGGTCAAGTGTGCCCTGCCTGCCTGCCTGCCTGCCTGCTGGGGGGTAAGGCAAGGGGGGTGTCTGTCATGACATGCTGGGTTCTGTTCTAGAAAGAAGTGCAACAACAGAGAACTAGACAGACAGGGCCCTGTCCTGGGGTGCCCCCATCCCAGCAGGGGAGTGGCAGTAAGACGGCAGCAACATAAAGCCAGATGAAGTCAGGCCATGAAGAAGGCCAAGCACGTGATGGAAAGGGCTGGGCAGAGGCAGGCGGCAGCTCTAGACAGGGGTCAAGGAAGAGCTATCTAAGCAGGGAACTGAACACAGGGACAGAGAGCACGTTCTGGGTGTCAGAAGTGGGAGAGGCTGTGGAGTGGATAAGGGGGTGTGTGGTAGATAGGCTGGGAGTGGGGGAGGGCCTGTTGTTCAGGGCTTTGAATGCCAGGATAGAAGGTGGGTTTTAAGTGGGAAGGGGAGCCACGGGAGGGATTTAGGCCAGGGTGTGACCCTATCTTTCACTTTTAAAAGCTCACCTGGGCTTCCATTTGAGCATGGTTATGAGGAGGTGAGGTGGAAGGGGGCACCCCCTATGTCACAGGCACCCAAGGGCAGGGGCTTCCTGCCATGTCTTTGTATCCCCAATATCCAGCATGGGACCATCCTCAGAGCAGGCTCTGGTCTCCCCATCTGTGACATAGGGGGGTTGATGCAATGATCTCATAGGGCCCTACCAGCTACAGTATTGGGTCAAGGATATAAATAACCAGACTCTGGGAGAGTGTAGTGCTGTTAAATAACCAGGCTCTAAATGCCACAGCCACAGGGAGGGGTGAGTAAATCCCATCAATCCCGTCATCCTTCTGGGGCTCAATGACCCCATCTATAAAATGGAGCAGGCTGACATCTTTGATGGGATGGGGGGCATGGCAAGAGCCAATCAGGGGGGCAGCCTCATGGCCTGGGCACCTGACCAGCTGGACCACTGCACAGCGCGCCCTACTCAGGAGGTGTCCGCTCCAAGGCCCCTCAGCTGTTAACCGCCAACCTCGGGCAGCAAGCCCAACTCAGCTCTCAGGCTTATCTGATCTTGTGCCTGCAGCGCCTGCCTCCTACCCCCAGCAAACCTACTACCCCAGCCCCAGAAGCTCTCCCACCTTTATCTCGCAACCCACCCTCTCTCCCTCTTCCCCCACCTCCAATGACAGGGTCCCACTGCGACTTATTTTACCCTCCCTGTCACAGGAGCACAGGCTTTGGCAGTAGCAGGAGCCCCATGGGATCTTGTCCAGGGCGAGCAACTTTGTGCTGGAAGTCAAAGGAGGGTGGGACCCAGTGCAAAATGAAAACGCAGGGCCCTTTGTTCCAAAACTATTAAGCATTTCAAGATGGGGACATCAGAGCATTAAAACAGGGGCAGGACCCTTCCAAGCAGGGGCTCTGTGCAATGGCATCTGCAGCACTCCCATGGAGCCAGCCCAGTGGGATGTTCTGACCCAACTCCTCAGAGAGTCCTGGGAAGGAAGATCTTGTCTGATCCATTCTGTCAGCTTCTGCAAGGTTGTCCAGGACAACCAAGTCCACTAGGGGCCACTAGGGACCAGGGGTCTCCAAGTTGCTGGCAGCAACTAGCCCTAGCCTGGCCTCAGCAGCCTCAGCTTTCCATCTCCCCACACAGGGGAGGCACCCAGGCAAGGAGCTTGGGATCTCCCAGCCAAGCCCCCGCCTCTTATAGAAAGGGAAATTGAGGCTTCAGAAAAGGAAAGTGATTGGTCCAAGGTCCTTCAGCAAGTGGGTCCCCCAACCCAGGCAGGATGGGTCTCAAGCCAGCATCCAGAGACTCAGGGACACAGGCAGTGACAGCACACTCCTGGTGACAGTGGCCTTCTGCAGGAGCCACTTTGTCCAATTTTACACCTTCCTTGCTGCTCAGGTTCAGAGCCAGCTCTCTCTTGGCACTTGGAAGTGCCTGATAAACATTTGATGACTGATGGTGAACAGGCAGGAATCTTCCTTCCCATTTTTCATAGAAGGGCAGGTGCAGAGAGAGGCGCTCACTAGCAACAGGGCCGAGCTGGGGCAGCAATTGCTTTCCAACTTCCCTGCCTAGGTTTCTCTGCCCTCTCCTGGCTGCCTGCCTTCCTCTCACCTGAGCCAGGGTGTCTGAGGCAGCTGAGCTCAGTGTCCCAGGTACGGATACCAGCAGAGGGAGCCCAGCCCACCTGCAGTGGGTCAGAAGACACAGGGCTGTTGGGCTGAGGGTGGAGTCTAGGGTTGGGATGAGGGTAGTGGTTGATCCTCTGATGTCACAGGGTGGGTCAGTGCTATCTTGGCTCAGGCACTGTTCTCCCATCTGCTTCTTCCCCTCCTTTCCAGAAGAATTGTGGGTCAGAAGACACAGGGCTGTTGGGCTGAGGGTGGAGTCTAGGGTTGGGATGAGGGTAGCGGTTGATCCTCTGATGTCACAGGGTGGGTCAGTGCTATCTTGGCTCAGGCACTGTTCTCCCATCTGCTTCTTCCCCTCCTTTCCAGAAGAATTCATCCCTGCTCCTGAAAGGGGCTCCATTAAGATCAAGAAATGAGGGCCCCAGAAAGGCTCTGTATGGACCTTGGCTCTGAATCCAGACAGGCCTGGGTGACCCCGGGGGGCAAGCCTCTTAGCAGCTGTGAACCTCAGCTTCCCCATGGGTATCCTAGGTATAATAATACCCTTCTCTCATGATCAAATGGGATCACACGAGTGCAGCTTCTTGTGCAGGCCTGGCAAACAGCAGGCCTTCCATAGACGGTAGCTGTGATTGGTCCTCCTAGGGTCTCTCCCACGATGTTCAATTCAAGTCAACTCAAAACACACACATTGTATATAAGATGATGTGTAAAATATACCGTGTATAAGACACTGTGCTAAGACAATGGGTAGGCCCAAAAAGAAATGGATGTGGCTCCTGGCCCTCCACAGGCTCACGGTTACAGGAGATATCAGATAAAGTCGCTCTGGGGAGAGAGACCCTTTCAGGCTAGATCAGAAAGGCTTCCTGGAGGAAGGGGCACTGGAGCTGAGCCTGGAGGCTTTAGACACATGGACGTGGGAAGGGAAAGCACTACAGGCAGAGGCACAGCTTGAGCAAAGGCCCTGAGGTAGAGATGCCTGGGGAATGTGTGGTGCACAGTAGGGGCCGCAGGCAGACAGAACGCGAGGCAAAGTGACGGGTGATGAAGCTGGAAGGGAGGGTGAGGAGGAGGCCACAAAGGCCTTGAATGCCGTGCTAGGGAGTTGGGAAGTTGTCCTGGGAGTGATGGGACTACCGAAGGCTGATGCCTCCTCAACCACCCCTCCCTCCCTAGTCTGACACCTACATACTCCTCCCAAGTATGTCAAGTGACAGCTCTGCCTCCACAGCCTGCAGTAGAGGGCAGGGCCTTTCCAGCTGGATCACTGGTGGCTCTGCCAGACCCAGCTGGAGACCGTGGTTTTGGCATCACCCGATCCACTGACCCCCAAGTGCCACACAAGGCCTGGCCCACAGGAAGTGCCTGGAAGGAGAGTCGACTTGGTGATGGGTCTCCCCCACCCTCCGAACACCCGCCCCTCCCCAGGAACTCACACGGTGGGGATGTACTCTCCGGGGAAGGCGTTGGTGGTGTAGCTGATGAGAAGGCAGGTCTTGCCCACGGCTCTGAAAGACAGGAAGTGCGAGAGCACGGCGGTCATGGGCCCTGACTCAAACATGGGGAGGTTTCCAAGTGCCTCCTGGTCCTCTGGGAGACCTCAATGTCTACGCAGGCTGCCCCTCTGGGCCTTTCCCTCCCTGTCTGAGACTACCCAAAGGGTCAGT